TGAGTACCATTCGCTCAGTTCTTAGCATTATTGCAGCAGAGGGGTTACATCTTGAGCAGTTATATGTCAAAACTGCTTTTCTCCATAATGACCTAGAGGAGGAGATTTACATGGAACAAACGGAGGGTTTCTCAGTCAAAGGGAAAGGGAAACTAGTGTGTAAGTTGAAGAAAAGCTTGTATGGTTTGAAGCAAGCCCCAAGGAAGTGTCCAATGTATGTCGGTGCGCTTATCTCTGTCTTCAAGCTAGAAGACCGACTGAAGCTGCGCACAGCTTTAGTTTCTCCATGGTCACTATCTTGGTGAACATGTCAGCCGGATTCTCGGTGCTAAGTATTTTCTTAAGTGTTAAAACCCCATCTTCTAACAAAGATATGAAGAAGTGATACCGAAGTCCTATATGCTTGGTCCTTGAATGAAATGCTAAATTATTCGCCAAATGTATGGCACTCTGACTATCACTGTGCAAAACATTCTTCACTCGTTCGAATTTCAACTCTATCAACAAACCTTGTAACCAAATCATCTCCTTGCTGGCTTCTGTCATCGCCACATACTCTGCCTCTGTAGTAGATAACGCTACAATCCTTTGTATTTGTGAAACCCAACTAACTGCAGTTGTACCCATCATGAAGACATACCCAATAGTACTTCTTATGTGGTCTACCTCACCAGCAAAATCTGAATCTACATAACCATGTAGCTTCACCTTTCCCCTTCTGAAACATAGGCATCTATCTGTGGTATCCTGTAGATATCTCAATATCCATTTCACTGCTTCCCAGTGTAGCTTGCCCGGGTCTTTCATGAATCTGCTTACTGCTTCCACTGCAAATGCAATGTCTGGTCTTGTGCACACCATGACATACATCAAACTTCCAATGGCTGAGGCATACGAAATTTTAGCCATGAAGTTTTTCTCATCCTCTGTCTTCAAACACTGATATTGAGATAATCGGAAGTGATTAGCTAAGGAAGTATTCACCGCCTTAGCATTATTCATGTTGAACCTCTTCAGAACCCGTTCAACGTACTCAGCCTGAAACAACTGCAAAATACCTTTCTGTTTGTCTCTGTTAATCCTCATTCCAAGAATCTGATTCGTTGCACCAAGATCCTTCATCTCGAATTCACTAGACAACTGCTTCTTCAATTTACTGATTTCTTCAAAAGCAGAACCTACCACTAATATGTCATCAACATAAAGCAGAATGATAATAAAACTTGACTTAAACCTCTTGAAGTAGCAACAATGGTCAGCGTTGCACTTGTTGTCATGTCGCTTCATAAACCCATCAACTTGTGGAGTCTAATCACGTGTTATTACTTGAATGATTTGGGAAGCTAAAGGTTTCTATGTTGGCTACTGACATGTTTGAACCGGTTCAGTGTGTTTGAATCAGTTCAACTAGAGTGGTTGATTTGGACTTTGGCTACTACCAAAGTTGAACCGATTCAGGGCACTTGAACCGGTTCAAATGTGGCGTCCACTTTGGCTACTACCAACGTTGAACCGGTTCAACCTCCGTAAATCGGTTCAAGTAGGGCAATGAGTTGCAACACGTTTGGGCAACAAAGTTGAACCGGTTCAACTCCCCTAGGAACCTACGCGATTTAACTTCCTTATTGGTTTTGGACTCTAGAAGGCAAATTCTTGTAGGACAAGTTGTGTTCCATTGTCTAGGACTATATATATCAAACTTAATCAGATTTAGGGTGTGTGAGATGATTGATTAATTTGTGCCAACACAAGAGAGAGCAATTGAGAGAGATTGAGAGAAAATTTTCCATTATAATTCTCCATCTTTTTCATAATGGAATTTGTTCGGTGCACTCCATGGACGTAGCTCTAATATTTGGGTGAACTATGTTTATCTTGTGTTCTTGTGTCTGATTATTATTTTTTTTAATTCTTCGTGATTGCTTGTATTAATTCCTCGAACAACGTTGTTTTTACGTTTCCGCCACAACAACTGATATCAGAGCATCCAGTTGATTGTGCAGCAACTCCAACATAACACTCATCCTCTTAGATAGAGTACCCATTTTCACCACTTATCCTCTTGGGTGCATCTTTCAGTTGGAAACTTGGAATCATAAAATTGTTACTAAATTGGTGTACCCATTATCATCATATATCTTCTTAGACCTCTTTCTATATAGATATATGTATATGCATTGACTATGTATGTATGTTATTGGAAGTGAAGTTCACCAAAAACACTCTTGTACCAGAACTTGAAGTGGGAAGACAGGCCCCAACTTTCTACATCCCTCTCTTAAAGTTTTTTGCTTACTTTTTTCACTCTTTGAAGCAAGCATTCTAAAGCTAATTCAAGGTTTTTGGGTTCTTTTTCTTTGAATCTTTGATCAACCTGCTAGTTTGTGAAGTTCACTATAGTATTAAATATATCTATGATTTATTCGTTTTGATGTTCAATTCCAATTTTCCTACTCCTCTTAGACATAGATTCTCATGGTTTGTTGATATTAGCTTTGAAATTACAGGTCGAAGTCAATACTCATTGAGACATTGATTAACAAATTTAGAGAGGTTTAGGATCAAGACGTACTCTCTCTGTGATTTTCTCTTCTAGACTTTCTCACTCTGTTCTCCATATTAGACAAATGCGTGTGTAAGTGAGTTTGTAAACAACTAGGGGCAATTATGAGATTAAAAAATGTAAGAACCAAATTGTGATGTGGTTAGGGACTCTTTTGTAATTATATTTTAGGAAAATAACAGAGTGAAGCCCCTTAGGACTTTGTGGAGCGCCAACTCCCTATTTGATAATGCGGGCGTAAATACACCATCCCCAATTGTCACGGGCCCATGCAAGTTGCAGCAGAGCAAAGATCAACAGTCCCTTACGTCATAATGACGTAATATTTAAATTTCAATAAAAGTTACCAAATGGGTTTTGGTATTTTGCTTGGCTACAATACACCACCCACAACTCAAAACATGAAATAACAATGGTTGCCAAACGGGTCCTTAAGGAGTTGGAGTTGCTGTTTCGCAAATCAAAACTAATGTTTCTAGTAACTTCAGCGTAACCTTTGGGTAGAATTTCCTTGGAGAGAGACTAATAGTTAAGTAGTTGCATAGTTTGTTAAGCTTTTCTAATCTCAGTGTGCGTTGGATTGCACTACCTTTAGGCAATTTTATTTGCTGATCAAAATAGAAAGTTATAAAATAGAATAAATAACGTAAGTAACAGTTTTTTTACATTGAAGATCAAGTCGTTTTTTTTTTTTTTTGGGTCATAATTGAGATCAAGTTCATTCTAGCATGGGTTTTACTTTTATCTAATCACAATGCATTTAAAAGATAATCCAACTTTATGGTTGGTAATGCCCAATTCAAGTTTGATCTATCCTGGCCGAAGCCGAGTTTAACCAATTTATTTCAAATTTCTGTTGGTCTAATATATTGGCATACATTCTGATTTCCTTCCAATATGGGTATATACTATATGCTTGTTTTGATTTAAACAATTATCAATGATTGAAACTGCTTCTTCTCAATACCAGTATCTTCAGCGGATTTTATGACCTACTTCCATTTCAAATTTGTGCTACATTACTGGTTTATTCGTCGAAACACAGTAATATATATTTATTTTCCCCTTATTCTTGAGTATATATTCTGCAGGATGGCTTGAAGTGTATTAAGATTTTGAAGGAAGGTTTATATGATCAACTACCTTCAGATAATGCAAATGAGAGTAAGAAACCAGATATTACAATAGTGGTGGAGGAGTTGCAAGCTAAGGTGGAGAAAATGCAGGCTAAGATGGATGAAATGGAGGCTAATGTGAAAAAGATCATGATTCGTTCCAAGCTATGAAACTGGGATCATTTGGTGTGAAATTTCTCCCTCTCGTGTTGTGCCTGATTACGTCCGGTTTTGTGAAAAATGTAGACGGTGAAGTTTGCTTTTGCTAATGACTCGTGGTTTCACCAAATGATTGTTGTTGTATGCCTATATTGTAATCATATGGTGTGACAAATTGTCTTTTATATTGTGCTAGCTTGAATGCGTCCAGATTTGTGAAAATCATTTGGCCTTTATACTTTTCGTATCAATTTACCTTTCCTTTCAAAGGAGCCATCTTCAGCACATCAGATACATCTTTTAACTTAAATCTACATCATGGCAGTGTAGCAGCAACAACTCTGTGACACTGTGAGTAATTCCGACCATTGAACCGTCTGTCGAATGGTCTCATGGAAGAGAAAAATAGATGACAAATATGTGCTGCGACCTAATGAGAAGGAATCATTGAGGGTCTTCTGCCCGTTGGACAAAAGAGGATGCCAATTTTTTAATGCTCAAATGAAACAAAATTATCAAATTATGTATTTCTATTATTATTGTGAAATTTTTGTTGAATTTTGTGGAGAGCGTGTTTACAGGGTTTTGAAGAAGTTGAATCTGTTTACTTAGAGTATGTTGCGAAAAATTTAACCTGAATTGGACCTGTTAAAATGTCAGAGACGATCGTATTGTTATCTCCTTAATGTGATGATAAGAGGGGATTTAACTCAAGTTAATATCCCTAACAATTTTAAATAATCAAAATGTGGGATTACCACTATACTTAGAAAATGAATTTTATCATTCTTAAGGGTATTTGATGCAATTTATCAAGAAAGAAAGAGAAAAAAACAAAGATGTACTGTAACATATATTACTTCGAATATAGTAAAAACATCTGTGATACGAGAAGGGATTGATCTGTATAATCCTGAGTTATATTACATTCACTCCGAGCTCATGATTAAGGTATAACTTTTGTTTGAACTTGGCTGCACGATAAAGTGTGTGTGTGAGATTGTCTTGTCCGGTTGTCCGGTATTTGAAAAGAAACAAAAAACCTCTCTTAATACGGCATCGTTGTATAATGGACTGAATGGACTGGATAGGAATTACATAGAAAGATGAGGTTAATTTCGGTAAGTTAAGAAGCATTTTCCTCTCGGTTCCATTTTCATATACACATTTCTCGTTGTCGCGCTCTGGTAGTCTCTGTAACTCCTCCGCTCTCTCTCTCTCTCCAAAAAAAAGCTCCGAACACAACCATGGCGGCGTGGACAGCTGTCGCTCGTCGAGCTTCGAACCTCTCTCGGCTCTCCTCTCCCAAATCGGTCGCTACGACTAGTCAAGCCGCCAATCTAATCCATCGGCGCGGTCTCGCCGGTGGCGGTGGTAATTGTCCCCTTCTTTCTTCCGTCTTGAATTAGAATATCTAATTCTTATAAATAAATACAGATCTTATTAACATATAACCTGTATTACACCTTTTTATGTGAAAATTTTACCCAGGAGTAATATATGTATTTATATGTATATCCGAACACTCTTATTACTTAATGCTTGGCTCCTTGCTCTTAATAATTTATTGGGTTTTGCAACCAGCAATTCTACTTAGATCATGCGGGTGTTGATGGGAAATTGAACTTGACACATAATAGGTTTTTTGGTGCTTGGTTGTGGAATTTAACCCATTTATCAATTTTCATTTTTAGTAAATCAATAACAACTAGTTTTCTTGAATGGGTTGAAGTAATGTCATTTAAGAGCTGTTGTTTCGACATGCTTTGTTGTCGGTCAAGAATGGGGATTTTCTCAGTGCATGCACCTACCTACCTTGACATCCATCCGATCATTGACATGCAATGTGTTTGAAAATTTTCAAATTTATAGTGACACATTCCACATGCGTAATCGGTTGTAACCTATTCCTACTAGTGGAACATGAACATGAAAACTGTCTTTGGGGTTCATATATGATAAATATTAGCCCACACAACAATATGCTAGTATTATTTAAACAATAACCCCTTGTCTATGCTATTATAGGTTGATTTGCATCCGTCTGTTTCTGCAATCCCTTTGGTTTAGTACTAGCCTTCAAAAATAGCCCACCCTCATCCTTATACGAGTTATCTCCATTAGCTGAGAGAAAACTTCCTTTCAGTAAGATTTTTGAACCTGAACCTGAAAACGATCATGTTAGTTAAAGTTTTAAATTAATTTTAATTCAATTCCAATTCCGAAGCATGGATTCTATGCTTCCAAACACTAAATGTATGTGAGAAATGTGGAAATACTTCATGCTCCATTGTGGGCCTTGGTAACAAGGTATTGAACTTGGGATGCAATGAAAATCAGAGAAGTTTAAAAATATATATATTAAGAAGATCATCCTGCTAGTTAGAACTTAGAAAGCAAGCATACTACTACTTTTTTTTTTTTACCCTCTCTTCTCTTTTTTAAAATCTTGAATAAAAATATTATCACATTGTGTATATTGCAGATCATCATGGACCTCCTAAGGTGAATTTCTGGCAGGACCCATTGAGCCCATCTAAATGGAAAGAAGAGCACGTGAGTCTTATTTACCCTTTTTTGAAATGCTAAGAATCCTAATCTTGTAGAGTTTATAGCATGTTTGCTGCTGTGTCTTTGAGATCTCTCAAAACTTTATTCGAAATTGGAGTAATGTACTGCATTTATTGATCCAGTTCTGGATCATACTTCATAATAAAGTGACAGTGACAATTATATAGTCTTATGTGTAAATTAGCCACAATTATTCTTCTCCATCAAATAAATGAAGGAAGCTGTGGTAAAGAAGTAAATTATACACTCTACCCCTGAAATGGTGGTGCTGACCCAGAGTATTCTGAAATTATTACATCACATGTTATATTGCTTACTGCTCATATATTGCTTACTGCTCAAAGTAACCGATGATATGTGTTTCAAGATGGATATGGATACGGATCTTAGGCAAGTTTTACCTCAAAATTCTCAACCTCACTGTGACTGCTGTTATATAAACAGCTTCAGGTTATGGAGCGATGTTCCTGGCTCAATGTGATGCTGTGAGAAACCAATGTAGGTAAAGATGGTGTATGTATGCAGGGGCAGAGCCAATTAAGGCCCAGAGGGGGCACGTGCCCCCCCTGAACGTTCTCCAACTTACTACACATACATACATATTTTTGTTATATACATATATTTATATGCCAATTCTGAATGATGGCCCCCCTAAAATTTTCAAATTTTTCTAATTTCCTTTTGAAAAGAAAAAAAGTTTACAAATATCCCACTTCTTCAATTACTCTAATTTTTCATTCCTTTTTCAAAATTTTTCTTTCTTCACTTATGATGTAAAAACAAAGTTTTTTTTTCCTTCTCTAATTTTTTTTTTTTTCCCTTCAATTATGCACATGAAGTTCTGTTCCATCATTTGTGTAAGTCTGATTTTTTATTTTTTTCTTTTTTAGTGGAAAAATGTTAGAAAACAACCTTGGTTGTATTTGGTTGCAGCTTCTTAGAGTTCCATTAGTTTGTAGTTACTATTACTTATTCCTATCTAGGGTCAGAGATATGTGGCTGTCTTTTAAGTTAACCAAAATTCAGAAAATCTTTGTAAAGGTTTTTCTATTATATTCATATTGAATCATGGATAAACTGGTAGTGGATAGGTTTTGTATGTACTTGGCAGTTTTACATTCTTTCAGTATATTTAAGTTTATCCTTCAGTGCCATAGTTTGTAACAGTTCATGTGAAAGGTTATTTGATCTTCTAAAAATGTGTTGAAGATTCAGTACTTAATAGCATGTGTGCCCAAAACGTCTTGCTAAACATTGATGACAGTTTCTATGCAGTGTGACAAACTCATTCGCAATATTTTGTTTATTACTCGTATAATATTATCAAATGGTTGCAACAAAATAGGTGTCATATTCTGCCACCAAAATATCTACAGTTATAAATTTATATAGTCTTTGTGGTAAGGATTTATTTTTTTCTTTTGAATTTAGCAGCTGGAATGTTGCATTCAGTTTCTTCATTATGGTTCCTAGTTGTGATGCATCTCCGAAGTTGCAGTTAGTTGTAAATTAAATCATATATGTTTTTGTCCCTTTAATTTCTGTTTCTCTTTACTTTTTTTTTTTTTTTTTTATGAGTTCGAGTTCCATCATTAGGTACTATGGTGTCTGTGACATAGCCAATTTATTTATTTGTTTACGTATTGTTTTCGTGGCTCCACTTTCCTTCTGTCTAACTTTTTCAGTGATTATATTTATCATATCAAAGCCTGCAAACATTGTCCATGGTATATTCTAGATATCTCTTGTACTAATTAAAATGGAAATTTGGTACCTCTCAACAATTTTCTGAGACCCTTGATTTTTTGCAGTTTGTGATTGTTTCTCTGGCTGGCTGGGGAATGCTCATCTTTGGGGGTTACAAGTTCTTCACAAAGGGCAAGAAAGAGGAGAAGGAAGAGGTATTTTCTTTTTTTTGACCAGCTGCTAAACAAATTAAACTGACAATATAATTAGTTTCATATATACAGATCTCAAATTAAAATTATGTTTTGATTAGATACTTTGAAATTACTATGTATTCATCTTAACTGTTAATCAGTGAGTCAATATCAATTATATGGTGACGGCCTTACCACATACTCGTTGACAATCTATGTTGTTTTGATTGATGGCACTTGGTTTTTCACAATTGAATGGCATGGATCATTGAATATGCAAGTATGTCTAATGTTTGAAACAATTGGAGTCTGCCGTCACTCAGTGGACCAGAAACTTTTAACTCTTTCATTATTTACTGGCCAACGTTCAAAGATTGTATGAGAAATCCTCTTTTTGCTTGCTCTGACTTGCCTAGTCTCTTTGCAGAAAGTTGCAGAAGGATCCCATTAGGTTGGGCTGTTTCTCAACACCTAGAAATGAAGTGGTTTGCTTGGATTTCACAGGCAGAGAAGAATAATTTTATATGATGCGACTTGTGAAATTCTCCAGTTTTGGCAGTCTGCGGCAAATGAACTCTTGGACAGATGGATGATATATGTTAGGACTTTTCAGTCGCTTTTCCTTGTGTTATTTTGATATCCTGATGCATCTAAAACTTTTTCTAAAAGCTTTAAGAAATCATCAATAGTCCTTTGAATCCAAGGCTGAAACTTCTTTACTTTACTCTGCTAGGGTATCGGTGGAATGGCATATTAACTTAAATTTACCTAGTCAGGGAGACGTGTGCAACTGACATATTTATTTCATACGCGTAGATTTAACTGGACCTGTTTGGTTTTCTGTTCCATTCTTTATCCCTTCGAATATTCTCTCTTTTACCTTGCAATGCATAGTTGTATCATCTTTCCTAGGGCATTTTCTATGATGTTGTTAGGAAGGCCAATCTCTAGTTTGTTATGTTATTGAATGTTCTCTAAAATCTTAATCTATACCTGGTTATGTTCTAGCATCTGTTGTTCTCTTCTTACATCTCTCCCTTTTCAATTCACCATGATAGAAACTTCTGAGACTAATTTACCCTCATCTCAATTTGTGTTTCACTTCGTAACTTTTGCCATCTTCCAAGTACTGGACAGCCCTCTGATTATATATATATATATATATATATATATATATATTGTTCTTTCCGGGAGGTTAAGCGAAGGCTTCTGAATTTATGCCACCTAAGAAATGACCTATTTAGTTTTGTGATTGAATATGGCCTTTGTTTTGGCCATGATGTTGGTTGCCAAGAGATAAATGATGTAATATTTGGAAAATCAGCCATCTGAACATAATGTGAAATTAAAGAAGATTTTCAGGAAACAGTTTTAACTCTGAATGGGTTACTAGTCATGGTCAATCCGATATATGAATTGATCGTGTTTACTATTGTCTCTAAAAGCAAATTGAAAACCGTTTGGTCCATATGGGTGCGTGGTTCGAAATTCTTTAATTAGTTTATCTAGTCACATAAATCAGAGATATAGCAACAGTTTGATACTTAAGTTTAAAAAATATATTTTTTTTGGTGTTTAGTTGTCCTAAAATATTTATGAAGAAAAAAAATATTAAAACTTAATAAAAATAACTCATGACAGACAGACTCGGCTTAAACTTTTGCGGTGACAGTTTGGCACTAAAAAGTAAAAATAAAAAATACTGAGTATATATTTTATTTGAAAAGGGGAAAAAAAATTCGAGAAAAATATTTTACTGCGTTCGGGGCCTTAATGACAGTTACCCATCCACTTGTGGGAGTTGCAATGTTTTTCCCATACCATGTTTCAGAAATCTGTTTACACAAAATGTTGTTATAGACGGCTAAAAATGAAATAACATAGTAAACTAGCTTAAAATTAGATGAGATAGGACTGCAGCAGCAGACAATAACCCCAAAAATAATATACAAATGTATGCAAGAAAGTTGTAATGATGCTGTTATGAATTGGGATCATCTTCGATTCCAGTTTCAACAGGAATGCCTCCCTAACTTATCAGACTTGGACATTAACAAAAACAAAAACGCTTGATTTCAAAATTCATCAACTGTTTTTATAATGTTTCTAGGCATACAAAAAAACGACCTTCTTATTCAGACCTAAGCCCTTATTTCCATTGGAATAGTGGGGGTTTAGAGGGGGGTGGAGGAGTGAGTTCCTTTGGCTGTAGAGAGAAAAATGATTCCAGCAGCCTTCCTAAAGCTGCTATACTAGACTACTTACTTACTTGTCACCAATGCCAAACTTTTAAGTTGAGACTTCTGCACACAGAAATCTAAATCTAAAGCCTTCCTCATAGATTTTTGATTCACCCTTTGTTTCCAGCATACACTCGAGGTAACTTTCTAATTAAGCATCCAAGGTTTGTCAATGAAATACATTAGCAACATCATACAAAAGACAACATATATATTAAAAAATTCAGTAAGACTAAAAAATTATATTGGGTGTATGATGGACATGGAATGTCTTTATCATTCTTATATGCCGTTTGGATGCCCATAAAAATCATGTAGAATGGGGCCATCAACCAACACTCAAGGCATCACCACAACTGATGGGTACTACTGCAATGTCGGTCTGACATTCAAAATAATGCCAACATTGTCTACAATGACGGTTGCTGTTTTTGGTAATAATCCAATTACAATAATTATACACACAACCGAGGCAAAAAAAAAAAAAAAACATCATCATCCTGAAACACTATGGGATTACTCAATTTCTATATACTTGTAAAAGAAAGCCAATATCAAAAATTTCCGGCCACATAAGGAAAGAATACTTGTATCTCCCTATACTCTGGCCAGCAATTTGATAGCAGCGTCGACTCCACTTCCCATGAAAACAGACCAAAAACTTCTCTTAAAAACTTCCATCCTTTTCTTTTACCTGTTTTAGTGTGCATCAATGTTACTAGGGTAAAAATTAGACACAAACAAGTTTCCATAATATTTTTCTCATACTATTCTAGTCAACTCAAAAGTAGTATCAAATTTACAAATTTGTTCAGGATATTAACTTAATATATTTCTTCTTTGCCTTTTTTTCTTTTTCCCTGGTATGAATGCATGTGCACAATTGTGTTGTGTCATTGAGGGATTTAAGGTTTCTACCAGATGCCATCGATATTCTTGATAAAGTCTCAGTCGACATCTTTTATTTCAGCTTCAACATCAACAACTGCTTGAGGAGAATCCTTTCCTGTACAAACATGGTGATATATTCAGAATTTTTGAATGACTAAAACCAACAATGTTTAGAGTTCAGAAGAACAATATAGAGTATATGTTTATTCTCTTTGGGATCATCTCCACTCCATTAGAAGGATTGTGGACAAACCATGGCAATAAATTCAGGATTTCTAAATGACTAAAACCAAAAATCTTTTACAATTCAGAAGAACAATATAGATTATATCTGTTTGGGAATTCATCTATTTGCCTATTCAAGGAAAGGAAAGAAAAATAAACTGTTAAAAAGAAAAGAAGAGGTATAGATAACAAAGTTTAGAGGAAATGGGAGAAATAACTTGAGAACAAAAAAAGAAAGAACAGGAATGGTTATTTTCATGTTGACTCAAGTTATTGGCCTTTTCTCCCTACCTTCTTTTATATCTCTTTATTTGAGAGTTTGGTGGTGGGAGCATTTTTTAAAACAGTTAATGAAACAGTTATTAACAGTTAAACCAGAATTTTCTCTCTCCCTTCTTTTATATTTATTTATTTGAGAATTTGGTGGTGCGAGCATTTCTTGTCGATTTAAAAAGTTACGCTGTGTTTGGGAGCACCAATTCGGAGTACTACATTTAGTTCAAAGTTTGTACTAAATTTTCTCCAATTTCAAATCCAAAGCACCGATTCGGTGCTCCCAAACACAAAATTAATGAACTTTATAATTTCACCAAGTCAAATCAGTCGATTGTTATACTAATAAAAGATTCATAAATTCTTTAGTTATGCAAATGTAACTTGTAGGAGAATTACCTAAGAAGAAAAGTAACCTGTGGGATCCATTTATTTTCTAGAAAATTGATTCCTTGTAAAGAAACTCATCTTCAATGTTAGTTCCTCAATAACAAGGTTGATCCTTAGCCTGCATCATTGGTCTTGAAATTTTTCACAGAAGGGACTTTTCCTCCCAAATTTATTTAACCTTCTCCTGTCAATCTAGGGAAAATTTATATTTATCCAACAAGTACAGAAATGCTTGTGTTGCTTAATATCTAATTTAAAACCATTATTTCAGATTCCTTCTGTTTTCATTATGATCAAGAGGCTCGGAGGGATAGACTTGAGTATAGTGGCATTATTTACACAAAGTGGCTGTCCTTGAAATTGATTCCACACTAATTTAAAACAGTTTTTAACTTACCAAAACAATAAATAAATAAATAAATAAAATGAATAAAACAGTTTTTTTACAAGGAAATGAAGTAACAAACACAACCTTATGAAAGAAGTAGGTTATCTATGCAAGCATTGTCAAAGGCTTTATAATTTTGTCATGATGGCACTATAGCTCATCAGGCACAGAAGAGAAATGGAAGGCCCACCCAGGTTTGATGTCCCAGAAAGCATTAAACCTAGCTTATCAAACTCATTATTGAACCAGTTGTGCACTCTTCTAACAACTATCTAATGCAGGTGGTGTTAAGACTTCACCGGAGAGTACCTTTCTTTGAGCCACGAGAGACTCTATGAAATGCTTGTCCAAATGTCGCAGATTCATTGGAGAACTTCACAGGATCCCTTACAAACTCGTTGCCTACCACTGAAATAGAAATAGAATTCTTAGATATATAAATTAGAAAACTAATATCTTTACTGAATTCTATTATAAACTAATCTAAATGAAGGGGGATAACATGATTCGAACAAGTTCAGCTAAAAGCTAAAACTAATGCCAATTGATCACCACAAATATCTTGTGTCAGATAAATCACTGACCTGCACAAAACCCTTCCCAAGTCAAAGAGATTTCTAAGAATAATAGCGTTAAATGATTATCACCACCTAATTAGTAATGTTACCAAGGAGATACAAAAACAATACATACAACAACCCAAAAAAAAAAAAAAAAAAATTGATAACTAGAAGTCAGGTTAGGCTGATCCCAAACGCCACCAACCCACCCAATATATATATATATGTAGGGTCAATCTGATTGGCTCAACTTAGAATTCAGTGTTCAACGAGCAATTGACATTTCAAGATAATTTCAGTGTCAGTTGCAAATTTGGTTCATAGTAATAAATAAGTATAAAATCTATAAGTACCATACTTATAGATGAATAGAAAAAATGAAAAGTTCCAAACTTTATAGATGAGCAGAAAAATGAAAAGTTCCAATTTTTTTGTTTTTATTTTTAGTTTTACTAGAGTTCAATTTTCAACAAAATATAACCAATGCCAAACACCAAAATTTATATCTCTGCTTCTTGTTGATCATCCAACATAATCTTGAATATTTAAAGGTGAATGACTCAGCTGAATTTTCTCAATTAAGCCAAAACCTTGGGTCTGAGTACCAAAACAGTCAGTACCGCAATTTACAGTACCCCAATTTATAGATTGATAATCCATGAGAGAAATACAGAAGTATGAGAGACCAGTGCTAAATGGATGAAAATTTGAATTAAGTTCAAAATTTAAAAGATGAAAGAAAACAATCCAAAGCAATAGACTGGAACGTCAAGTTGGTAGCATTTCTAAGAAAATTTTTTTAGAAAAAGCTTAAGTTGATATTATTTACATATCAATAATACCCTTTTGAGGGACCAACTTGATTTAAACATACATTAAATTCATACAATTTGGAGAACATCAAATGTATTGCCATTCAACAGTCTATAGGGGATGGTATTTTAGAACGTACAGCTTTATATTACAAGAAATCCCAGTAAACAGTCAAATGAGAGACATGCTCAAACACAATTTTTTATAATTGCATTAAAACCATGTACATAAAATGTCAATGGGAGAAAAAATCATGATATTCCCAAATAGGAGCAAGAAATTTTTTTCACAATTTGTCAATCTTCTTACATTCACAATAAAAACTTTAGAAAAGGCTTAGAGATGCATTGACTCCTCAAGACCACTATCCTTAACCCATACTAAGGAAGAGGTAAAAAAATGTTTGATAATAGCCTTCAGAATTCAAAGGTTTATCAACTTGAGTAAACTAAGACAAAATGTATGGAGTCATATTCTAGCAAAGTAGCAATGCAAATGGGCAAGTGGTTAAGATTGTTGACAGAGATTCCATAAAGAAACCATCTTTGTGATCTGCACTATTATCCATAAGGACAGACAAAGAGGATGTTGTCATAGAATTAGAACACGATGCATGAAATGAAATACTTCTACAATGTCGTGCAATTATCATATATCTATCAAGTTGGGGTGGGATAGCCTTTCAGAAATCTAAAAGGCAGCCATGCATTTTGGTAGTAAATGCTGGGTAAGTAAGAATTTGTATATTGAGAAGAGTAACCATGACTAAAATGCAGATGCTGACATGAATGAGTGGACATATAAGGAATGACTAATATTTGTCAAAAGAAGTGAGAAGAGACAGAACCAATTGGGAAGAAGATAAGTAAAACTGGTTAATATAGTTGGGTGGCAACGAAAAGTTCAATACTTCATTTCTTTAAAAAAGAAAATGATGAAGTGCTCCCATATGAATGGAAATGACATATAGTGCTTGAAGGCGTGGAAATCTAAAGAATTATTAGCTCACATTTGGCTATTACCTGAAAAAGGTTGACTACAAAAGGGGCACAACTGCAAATCGTCATTTAGAAAAGATCTGCAGAAAATTACATCAGTATAGTAATTCAAAAACACAACAGCTTTATAAAATGGTTTCACAAATTATCATCATATCATAGTGGGTATTAATTGATCTTACTTGAATATCTGAAAATCATTTCCACAGTTTGGGCACTGCATATATAACAGCAAGTTCAGAAAAAAATGATTAATAAAGGCAGCAGATAATAGAGTATGTTCTACAAACTACTTCACATCCAAACAGTTTCTTGTTAATGAAAATGAAATTCAAACAAATTTGTAAGGAAACACACAGAACAGCATATGAAGATGTGAAAACTAGGAGCAAGTAAAAACCTCTGATACTTTTTGAGGGTGTCAGGACGTGTGTAACTGCATAGACAGAAAGTGGTATCGTCGTACTATAAGTTAAGACTTGATATATATAGTATACAGATGTTTGCAACCAAAATTCCTGTTACAGGAGGAAGGAAAACATTAAGAGGCAATCTATTCTTTAGACTCATATTAAACCTCCGCACAAACATTTTAGGACAAGGAAGAAGTCTAACAGGCCGTACTGAGCACAGCTGACATATATTTGGACAATTTTTGAGATATTAGTCCCCAGAATTTTTTTTAGGTGAAAATTTTCATTTAGGTCTCCAGTATCATCAGATTCAGACAAGGTCACAAGAACTTATGTAAGGTGGACAACATTCACAGGTATCGAAGATCATTAATTTATCCAGACCAACTAAATGTAAAGCATAACCTTGTTTGGAAAAAAAATAAAAAATAAAAAAAAATTGCAGTTTAAATATTTCAGCCATCTGTCAAAAGCATGCAGTTTCCAATAATCCTTCAAATAAAAGCAATTCATCTTCTCCTTTAATAATCAGTACATCTTGAAAGTATTATCACAATAAGAAGATCAAGATGAATTTGCGATTCCAATAAATGGTGCATCAAAGGGTCAAATCCCAACATTCATGTTGGTGCATCACCCCACAATTAATAGACTATATGTACTTGTCCACGCGCATGCATAAAAAGTACACAAAAAATTTCAAGGAAAACTACTAGAAGAATAAACATCCAAAATTTTCAGTCAAAAACAATACTAATATGCTATAGACATAAACCAATTATAAAATCATAGGTTTATCAGTTACATGGAGGGTCTAGCTATTAGCTAGTATGTTGACTTGTCAAAACAAACAATGGCATGACATGAAAAATTATGATAATGTCTTCATTAGGAAAAAATACATCTTCAATGCCAATTGGTCATTTGGCAAAAGAAATGACAAAGTTATACATGCCATATCTATCAAAGATAGTCAAGAACCTTGTATTAATGTGGCACATGAAACAATCAGTGGACAAAAGGAAGAAATTTTCAGGAGCAGAATAATATAGGACCAAAATTTAAAGCAGACTCACGCTGCCTTGAACTATATCTCGTCCTGCCCACCAGATAAAAGCTCCCAAACCCACAATTGGTAGCAGCACTGCAAGGAGCTGGATGTGAAAAAGGATCCACCAATTAGATTTAAATATAAAAATTGTTGTCAGTGCTTACAGGGTGTAATCTTCAGAAGGGCGCTAACAAAGTAAATCTTGCTTTTCGATGTATATGTCGGACAGAGCAACTAATTATAGCATGAAAAGATGAGCAAACATCTCCTGATTATAAGAGATACATGTAACCAAGAAGTAAGAACCATAGATGAAACACCTAAATCAGAGCAAAACAGAGTTGATGTGATCATGTGACCAACTCAAAATAGTAGGAACAAAAGACAGTAATTGATTATGATAAATAGGGTAATATTTCAAGCACAAAAACCACCCAACATAGCAAATAAAATTTTATACAGTATGTGCACTTTGTGGATGAAAATTGAAAATAAAAGTTAACAATGTATATAACAATAAAAGGAAATGGTAAATATCAAACGTGTGCAGTTTGAGATGTCAAAGGTAACTTCAGCATGATACACATGCAGTTTGCGGACATTAACTTCACTATTAATTAAAGCATCTTATAAAGATGGAATCAGTCTGGCGGATTGCTTCAAAGACTCACAAATTGATTTGGTACAAGACTAACTAGAACATCAGAATAGAACAAACGAAAACAATATTATTTTTATTTATTTTTGAGTAATCTGGCAATCTAAGAGGAATTTTAGAAAGCTTACACATCAAAGTCTCAATTCTAAAAAATGCTATGAAAACACATCAAAGTAAAATCATAAAACATATCATAGGCCACTTCATCCAAGCTCTCTATCTTCTTATGTTAAGAACATTATTACCAATATATAAAATTCCATATATCCGAAGAGCCATATGCTTTCTTATGCAAATATATATAGAGAGAAAGATATAGAGAGAGAGAGATACCCAAATAGAAACGATTGTATCCAAAACCCAACCAAGCTGTCCAGTTACAGAAAGATAAGTCAAGCCAATAGCAAATGCAAGATTACCCAAAAGCCTCAGAGTTTTACCGTTATCTCTCCCACCACCACCACCGCCACCACCACCACTACCATCATTAAAGCGAAACCCTTGATTAAATCTAACCACAACTAGGCTCTTCTTCCTCTTCCACCCTTGTTCTGCCACCCAAAACTCATCTTTACAGCTGCTTAGTCCCAAGAACGACCATCTCCCTCTATAGCCACCAGGTTTGAATTTACGTTGATGTAAAGAGCCAATATTTGTTCCTGAGAGTGTGTAGCAGCAATTGGGTGCTGATAATTTCAATACACAACAGTTGTGTTTCCTGCTTGAATCATCGCGTAAGCTGTTGAAATGTGAGAAATTGATTGAAACCTGTAACAGTGTTGTCATCGCAAAGATTCCAAGAAATTAATATAAAACACTGATCTTGGCTTTACATATACGCAGACAAAAAAAAAAAAAAAACCGAACCGATTCTTCTAGCTCTCTCTCTGAGATATTATTTGTAAGTTGTAACTACTAGCTCTACAGTCTACATGTAGTTTTCTAGAGAGAGAATCTCTCTCTCTCTCATTATTCCGAGTTGGGGACCACGGTCCTACTTTCCTCTTTGCCCTTTATCCAGTTATTATATACTGAACCTTTTCCACAGTTATCTAAAAACATTTTTTTTTTTTTTTTTATGAATTTTGGAGAAAACTATTCCCTAAAATTAAACCTTTTAAAAATTGATTTTAGAGAATAACTTCTCAATGACTTATCAGTCAAATAAATTTTATTTAAACTGTTTTATATTGTCATAAGATAAAAATAAATTAAGCAAGTAGTTCCAATTCAGAACAACACTTGCCGTGCAATTTTGACCTTTAGATATGAATCACACTTAATTTCTTCTAAATTGGGAAATAATAGAGCTCAAGCATAGAAGGCTAGTAACTCAACTTAGTTAGAAAAAAACTCAGGTTGTTCAAGTGTACCTCATTCAGTCTAAAATAATTGTCTCATTTGAAAAGTTAATAAAAAAATTTTTAAAAAAAATTTGAACAATTTCAAAATTTAAGAATCTTAAAAAGAGACAAGCTTTGTCTCCTTAAAAATTTGTCTCCTTAAAAATTTGTCTCCTTAAAAATTAAGAACCTTGAAAAAGAAATTTTGATTTGGGAAGGCTATCATTATTATTTATTTTGAGAGCTAATCCGGAGAGTCAAAAATTAAAAAATTCAAGCCAAGTTACATTAGGTCCCTATAAAATTCACAGTTAATTTATTTACAGTGTTCTGGGGTAGCAATTTGTAATCGGTATGATTTTGCTTTTTGAAAGAAAAATTAAATGGACCTTTTTGTTTCCAAAAGCAATTAAAAGTGGCTTCAAAATGCTGATCACACCATAAGATACTGCTTGAACATGTGTGACACAACACAGTTTCGTTGATTACACATGCGCATCAACAAAAGCACACCCACTTATTAGGCTCAAAAAACTACAAAATCAACAAAAGCATTAGATGAAGAAGGAATCTAAGAATAAACGAACATGAGAAACAAAAGATGGTACACAACTCGTGGGAAGGTATTATAGTTTCATCCAGATGCCTTTTGTTGCTACTCAAATCATCCAGAGATATAGGTTCACCAATAGAACCCCCCTCTGATTACACAACATACAGACCATATTTAATTATACGTAAAAGCATACAACTCACACCATCGCTGCTTCTGAATCATCCAGATGCAGATAAAATAAAAACATCTTACATCAAGCCGCAGCTACAAATTACTCTTTCTTCTTGTCTTTCACTGTTGTAGCAGCGTCATCACTGTATGGTGCAGCGCTGTATGCATACTGCTGAAACGCAGAAAAGAAAACCATCTCCACACACACTAATGCATTTTGAAGAGCTTCCTCGAGATGCTCCACATCGAGCCAGAAATGATGTGATCGAATTATGCCCAATGCTACAAGAACGTCAAGCACAACTCCCTGCAAAAAAGATCAGAACAGCTTCTTCTGTCAACGAAAATTTAAGAATACTTGTAGTACAACAACACCAAGGAGCGGCCATGCTTCCAACACCAACAATTACCTTCGAAGTTAGAAGACATGAAACCAGAAGTGAAACTAAATTGTGGTGAATAAAAACATTTGGAATTTCTTTAAATAAGTATTTTTAGCTACTTATGTCAGCAGAACACATATATTGATAAATTCATTTTATGTCACTGACCCAAGACAGTAAATATGAATTTCCAGAGACGTGTTATCAGTGTCCAACACAGATATGGGGTGCCCCACACAGCTAAGACACAAGTGTTACACAAACAGCAACTTATGTGTCTAAAGATCCCCTTAAACTAATAACTGCAATTAAAGAATTTTAGATGTATTGCTAATTGCACGTGAAACACATGGGCATGACCGCTGAAGGGATAGATATCCAACAATATGTAATTTTTTCCTATGATACAAAGATCTGGAGGAACAAATGTTAATACTTCAACAGCTATGTTACATGGACTCTTCCAAAGTATGCGAAGTACCTGTGTCGGACACACAATATTGGAAAATGGGTATGAAATACATGTATGACACTTTTGGATGGACATGTACCTAAAAATATATCCAATAATTCACTTTTATTATATTATTACTTCAAAATGAAAGAAAAGCCTACATTGAACACCATGTTACATACAACATTATTTTACTCTAAAAAATAAAAATAAAATATTAATTATTATGAATATTTAGCAGTGTCATTTGTCCTTTAATTTGGAAATTTGACACTTTCAATGCTTGGATACATACCAGCAGTAGACACACTTCCCGAGTCCATGCTTGGATACATACCAGCAGTAGACACACTACCCGAGTCCATGTACAATAGTTCAACAGTCAAACTTTAAAGGAATGTAAGACCATGTCAGTAAAAAAAAAAATTCCTAGTTAGCATGTCAGTAATTGTTTGATATTTCTGTACAGATAATCCAAATCTATTGCCTTAAACTAATGAGGAATCCACATCTATTTTAGAAGCCTAAAATTGATCAACAATTTCAGTATAGGAATGTTAGCCTAAAATTGATCAACATCTATTTTGGTAGCCTAAACTAATGAGGAATCCACATCATTTATTCAATAAAAAAAATGAAATACCAAGATATGGAAGATTTAACCAAAATCTAAAAGTGTGAGAACTATGGCCCTGGTTTCATACATGACAAAAGCTATAATTCAATTTGCAGCTTCTTATTAAATTAAACTTCATATTTCTGGGGATAGGAAGTGAGAAGCCTACCTGCCAAAAGCAAAAGAAGACAACCCCTTTGATGCATAAGAACTTGGCAAGGGGTTTGTGCGGTTCCAACTCTTTAGCAAACACATGGTAAAAAATTACGAGCGAGTACAACGCTAGTGAAACTGAGACGTTCAAAATGATGGTGAATGTCCAGCTGACCCAACTGGGATATATTCCAAGAAGTTGAAGAGCTATCATCAAGACGGAGCACACAGGGCGGATCACAACGAACTGCCATGTCCAGTACTTGAGAAGCTTTAACGTATGATGGTTCAAATGGGCAGTACGAGGCTGCAATTGATAGAAATAGTGCAAGATGAATAAGATGGATGCAAGGAGATCCGCATGAGGCAAAATCAACACAACAACCACAGTTTACTAATAATACTGAAAATTAAGTACTGAAAATTTTAAGAGCTGAATTTTAAATGCTGAAATTTGTAATTAGTAATTAAAAACCAAATATTTAGGAAGAAAAAAAAAAAACCAAATATTTTTAATATCTTTTAAAATTTTCAGTGTTCACTTATAGGTGATGTCTCTGTCACTTAAAATTTTACCCTATTTTAAGTGGCACTTGCATTATCAAACACACTTAATTGGATAAGCAATCAAGCGCTGAATTGAGTTATCAAACAGCACCTAAGATGCAAGGAACAAGTTTTAACCTTGGGCACTTGTTAAAAAATAAATAAATAAAAAATTAACCTCGGATAATTTTAAAAGGAAATACTTGCCAAAAAAAAGAAACAAGAAAGTAAATTGTAAAGGAAACTATTAATACTAACAAGACATAAGCAAAGAAGGCAAAAAATTACGGAAAAAGATGAGAAGTTATTTCTTAATAAGTAGTAAGTGTTGTATGACAGAAACTGTGCCAGAATTCTTCAAGAAAATACAGAAAAATTTCAAACACCACATTTTTTTTAAAACAAGGCACTAGCATATTTAGCATGAAAGTACCATTGCATTTGGTGTGCCATGTTTATCTGGATAGAAAATTTTATCTTAAAGGGTTTGGGATGTGAATGAATATAAAAAATTCTCCAACATTCCTAATTTAGCACAAGCTAATGCCTAAGCAATTGATGGAAGTTACATGAGCAGGCCTATGTTTGCTAGATGGACTCTGCTCCCCATAAAAAGACAATGCAGGTTATGCAGCAGTTTTCAAGCAAAAGTGCACTTGCAGCAACTAGTAAGTAATTTCTGGTGTCCATTCTCTAGGAACGGTCCATTTCTTACAACAGAAAGGAGTCCTAAAAGAAATGAGCTCATGAACTAAAAGGATATCATGCTATCTATCAACATCACAAAATCAATGTCTAGAATGGGTTTCTGTCTTCTTCTTCTTTTTTCTTTTTCTTTTTTTTCTTTGGGGTTCCATTCAATAAGTTGAGTATTTCCTTTTCAATATACAAGCAATAGATAAAATGAAAATTTTATAATCAACAACTTAACCTGGAAGAGAGTCATTGGAAATGAATGGTGAATCTTTCTTCCTTTGATTTCATCAGGCACTATGTTTTTGCTTATGGATATGTTCAAGTAAGTGTACATCAAAGCCAAGAACTTAGCCATCACCTGCATGTAATGAACAGAGAAATTTAAAAATAACAAATGAGAAGCTTGCATATATATACTTGTTCAACTATACCTAAAATTTATAGCATGCAAGGTGCAGAACAGAAGACTCACCAAAGCCTCATAACATTCCTTAACAGATTCCAAGAACATAAAAAATGCTTTGCTCCCCTGAAAATCTATCAAACCAACGAAGGAGTCAATAGCATATATGGGAGCCATAAGGATGATAATTAGTATGGCCTTTTGCTCCTTTGGGTTCTTCCAGTGGAATAGATGATGTGATAGAAGCTGTACTGTAAAATGCATTGTGAGCATCACACAGATAGTGGATCCCATCAGAGTGACTTGTCCGCGATTCATTTTGAATATATCTCTTGCTCACGAATGAGAAAATCAGGAACAGGACCTGCAGGAGTATAATAAAAGCTTATTCGGAAATTGGGGATTTAAAAACTCAGTCCAATCCAATTATCTTATGGAGCAAAATGTGATGCCAATTGTAAACTCTTTAGAGAAAGAATCTAGTAAATGAAAATGGGGAACAAGTGAAACTGGATGAAGCTAAAAATTTCTGAAACGCTAGTTCCTAGCAAATGATCTGGAATAGTTCATACAGCAGTAGAGTTTTTATCCCATCTGCCGACAATCACAAAACCAAAAAACACAAGAAAAAGAAAAACTAAGAAACAATGTTGTCCAAAGAATCTCCTTAATCACTAATCTCTATGAGTTATAGCTCAAAATATCACAGAGTTACTGCATCTCTACATCAAATAACCAAAATTTACAGGGACAACAACATCATGTTCTATTACCATAAAATTCGTATGCCAGAAAACATATACACACTCATAAAGAATCAATGGAACTTAATTCAGTATTACCTACATTTAAGGCTCAAGGTGTAGCACTAGAAAATTAAAAGTAACTTCTTGGTGGGTGAATTTATGGGTTAACAAATTAGCACACTCAACAAGAACAAAAATCGCATCTATCACAGTAGAAACTCCTGTGCTTACTATGCGATTTAATAGAAAATTTACCGAATAGATATTGAAGTCAACCAAAAGAAAACGATGTATAAATATGTATAATCAAATAAATACACACAGAAAAATCTAAAGCACAATTAAAATTTTCTTTTGGTGATCAGAAGAATGTGTTTAGTGAAGAGAGTTGACTGAATCGGAGTAGAGAGAGAGAGCACTTACAGAGTGGAAGGGTAATGGATCGATGATCAAAATGTGAATGTGGTGCACAGAAAAGGTTAGGAGAGGACCCAGAATATCAATCAATGTCAATGTCGTCAAATTGATAGTATCTCTTGCCTGGGAATAAATACTCGTAATGGGAATGAGACGATATAGGTGGGAGGGAGGAGGATATTTACGAAAAAGCCATGTAAAAAAGGTTTTCGATAATATCTTTGGGCCACTTCTTGACTGGAGAGGCGTCATGGGCCCTGGGCCTCTGGCCCATCATGCCCATCTTTCGCACTTATCACCACATGTACCGCTGAGAAAGGGCTTCTTAAAAACTTGCAGTGACAGTGGGTCACCGACAGAGACTTTAAGATGGTGCGAAATGCACTAATAAAAATATAGTATTCGATAAGTTTGGGCTCACTGGGCAAAATAAGTGAATTAATTGACATCTTGATAATTTTAAAACTTTTATTTCATTGTATTATGGGAAATATATAACTGATATTAGTGTAAAAGAAATAAAAAGGAAAAAATTGCCAAAAATAATTATATTTATATATGAATCATCAATATATTAAAACAGCAGCCATTAATTAACATATGAATGGACAGCATTTCCTATCATATTACTACTGCAAGTATGGGTGACAAATTACGACACAACACTACAACACGACGCGAGTTAAAAGGGTTTGAGTTTAAAATAAACAGGTTTGGGTTATAAAAAGGTCTACACGATTAACCCGTTTACTTAATCGTATCAGGTTAAAGTTGAGAGATTCAACCTATGTAACTAGTTTATGACCCATTTAACTCAACATGTTATAATCGTGAATTCGGTTTAAACCCAATTTTTATGGATAATTAAATCATTTCAACATACACCTTGTTTATGCCTTATGATTGTTCTTTTTATTTTGAATATTTTGGTTAGTTATAACAAAAATTTTTCTATTATTTAGTATTTAATTAAAAATTAAATATTTTATTTTAATAAACGGGTCATTAAACGAGTTAACACGTTTACTTGTTTAATAAACAGATTAGGTTAGTATTGAAAATTCTTGACACGATTATTAAATAAGTTAATTTTATGCTCTTACATTGACACGGCCCACGAACACGAATTGTCACCCCTAAATACAAGCTGTTAGTTTGGCAATGGACACCACTATCTGATTCATATACTTGATTGGAAGGGAGATAATCACTATTAGGTTGTCATTATTTTGTTAATTATCAGATAACTTCTGACCACTTTACTAATAAGTTTCTTCTTCTTCTTTTTTTCATTTTTTTCTTCTAACTTTCAGTCTATTATTATTTTTTAAATAGAAATACCGTGGCAGTTACTTTCAAAATCTCCCAAAACTAATGCATTTCCCAACCAAACAACAAGCAGCTGCTCAATAGGCTAATTGAATCACTAATTTGTCATCATAATCGTTAAGGACTATTTTATCTCTTAATTTATAACACGTTTGATGGATTAGGCATTGAAATAAATGATGAACCATAGATGATAAATTTGAAAATTGAAATGGCAATCCTCCAAAACTTCTAATGAGGATTTCTCTGTGCCATTACATGCAACTCATTCCATCCCATGAGAGTGAATTTGTAACGAATCACTGACCCAAATGATTTTAAAAAATAATAACAAAGAGAGAAAGAGAAAGGAATCAATATAATTAATACAAAAATAAATGCCACTAAATTTATAAGAAGCCCTGCTCCGCCACTCGATATCCCAAAACCTTCTTTTTTCTTACTTGCAGCTTTGTTCCTAAATTGTTGAGCCACAATCATAAATTATCAACTGGCCAAGCAAAAAAAAAAAAAAAAAAAACCCAACAATATACACTATATATATATATATATATAATGAAAAGGAAGTCAGCTGACAGTCCAATATCCTTGTTTCAGATGGCTGCTTGGCACCAGTGTCAAATTGAAAAGCATTCAGCTTCAAGTTGCAAGCTCATCAATAATATAACTAATTGAATCTGGACCACATCACCAAATGGTCCTAGTAAACAAAGTAGAATAAGATCTTTTACCTCAACTCAAGAACGTGCTGAGTTCTTAAGCCATCTTCCATAAGCAATATTGTTCTAGCCACAATCGAATGGCTCAATTAAAAGTCTGGTGAGATGGGTAAAACAATAATAACTTCACCAGAAGAATATAATACACTTTGCTTCATTTCCAAAATTAGTCTCAGATCATACAGATTTTAGAACCTCTCCCAAAACTAGCCCCCACTGAGTCCAATGGGTGCCACCCTGCATTCGAAAATTCAAGCAAATATCAAATTCAATGGTTAATGATTTTTTTTTTTTTTTAATAAATCCATTAACTTTATTCGACGGATCATTTCCAGTGAAATGTCCTTGATAGCTCAAGACTCCAAGATACTAAGGAGAAGGACCTCTACTTTTTTCTGGTCCGACTCTAAATCAATAAATTAGCAGATCTGTAAACTATTAACCAGATGAGGAAGACAACATGAGGTAGGTGCAGACCTGACAAAACACAGAGAAAGGCTCCCTTAATGGCCCATCACATGAGAGCTCACTTGTACTCCCATCAATGAAGGTTCCATCAGCAAAGATCACCTGAACCATGGAACAATTATTCATGCAGTGCTAGGATTTCACTTTGAAGTGCAAATGACTACTTATATAAATCCCAAACTCAAGGCAAGTTCTGAAATAAAGACCACATGCCTCAATATCGTATTAGTTGAATATGAAAAGATAAATAAAAAATGAAGCAACAAACATATGAGAGAGGGAGAGATGAAGAAAAAAGGAAACAAGCCAGACGCAGAAGATCAATTACCACATTTATTTGACAACAAAACAGAAAAGCAACAAGAACTACTATTTCTGCCATGTTATGGCAAAATTATAAACTTCTTAATAAAGACCACTTCCAAACTACGTATGAACAAGAGCCCACCAGTCCCAACAAGAGGAGTGAAACCAGAATTTGAATACCCCTTGTGCAGTGGGTCCATCAGTATGCTTTCCGAAAGATGAATTCTTCTGCAATGGGTCAAATAATAAATCTTGTATGCTTTGGAAATGGGGACTTAGGGGGTGGGGTAGCACGTCCCTCATAATTTTTGGTATGATATTGTTGCTGATTTCCTCAATAGTTCCCTCACTCCTGAAAAGAACGAGTGCAACAACAAAGAAGATGAAAAGAAAGAAAGAAATTTCTATCCAAAAGAGAGGGGCACGTCTTCCTATGCAGGCACTACCAGAATGATTAATACCACCAAACCATTGGCCAGGTGGTATAATCTCTTCTCCCCAAAGGAAGGTGAGGGTTTGAACCCAATAGTGGGCACTTGTATTTACCTAACAAAAAAAGAAAGAGAACACTAATGCTTGATGAGCTGGTGGTTCATGGAGACACATTGCATTGAAATTCACTTCATGATAGAAAAATGAGGTGTTAACAGAATTCCATTTGCACATCCAACCGTTCATGACTTACAATCTGTTTCAGGGGCAGCACTTGTATTCAAGATCCTACTATCCATATTATTGCGAAATAAGCGATGTTGAAAGTTCATCGCCAAACAATGTATAATTAAAGTTTGAGACCAAAGCTAAATATGGTCAAACCTCGGACGCATAACCAGCAGTAGAACCCGCAACCGGCTTGATGAAAGAACCCACTGGGGAGCTTCTCTGCACAGCCTCACAGAAAGTAAGGAGACGCTCACGGTTTCCAAGCTGTACTGCCTGAAAAGCAGCACAGAGCAACTGAGTTGTTGTTTTGCAGAAGCTCACTTTAATTAAATCTTTCGAGGAACTGATCAGAACTACAGACCAGAAACATGATCGTTTCACATTTATCATATAAGAGTAGCATTCTGTTTATAAACTATGAACCATGATGGGTACTAGTAAACAGAGCATACCGGGACGGGGTATATAACAAAATAACATCGATGGAAGTAATTGGATGATGTGAAAATAAAAGACATCTTTTATCCAAGCCACCAAGTGGGATCATCAGCAAAGTGAAAGATAAAATGAGCTATCCTAACATTATAGCTTCATCTTAAGATAACAATGGATATAACAAACCTGTACTGTATCATGACGGGATACCCGGGGAAGTGGCTGAACCTTATACCCTTTAGATGCCATGACTTCAGCAATCAGATAGCTTCCCTTGTAACAGAGAATGAGAAAACCAGTATAGCCTCGTAGAAGTAATCAAAATCACTATAAAGCTAGAAGACGCAAGACTACAAACCTATTACCTTGATTGCTTCCCCAACCATTTGAGGTGAAAGGAACAATCCCTGAAAAAATGCTCGCATTATATCACCAGGGGTTGAGCCACAATCAACCCCAAGTCCCGGTGCAGAGAGACGAGCTGCAGCTGCTTTTACCCATTTTTCCCTCCCTGCAACATATCCACCACATGGTGCAATGGTTCCACCAGGATTTTTTATTAAACTGCCTGCAATTAGATCTGCACCCTGCTCACCATTAACTACACCATGTTAACCTTTTTCAGACATAAGAAGCAAGAAATATGTTACGTACCACCATTGGAGGTTCAATGCTTTCTGCAAATTCACCATAGCAGTTATCCACCATGACCAAGCAGTTTGGATTCTGCATCTGTATAAATACACATGGACGGATCAAGATTCACAACTGGAGCTTATCAAAATAGTGTGAAAAATATTCGAGACTCCAAAGTAATATGAGCAAGATTCTCATGATTTCCAATGAAAGTTCGAGCATTTCAACCAAGGAAATACAACGCAAGGATGAGGCTAATTGCACCCACCCATCCAGATCCTAGTGCATCTCCTTTTTGTATTGATACCAGTTATCTCTCAACCCAGAGATGAGTATGAATTTTATAACCCTTAAAGCATATTTTAATTTTTTTAACCCTTAAAGCATATTTTAGAAGGTATACCTTGATCATCTCTATTGCCCTCCCAATCTCAGTTACACTTAAACTACGACGCCATGAATAACCACAAGACCTCTGTATGAGTGCACATTTTGTTTGAGCTCTTAAAGCTACCTTAAGTGCACCCCAATCAAGCCCACCATCATCTGCAAGCTGTAACACAATCAAAATGAGAAGTCTTTGAGTGGGACATCAGAAGTCATAAGAATGTTGTTACCACTAAGTAGTGTCTCACTGGAATTTCCCGGTAGTTCACTCCAAAATCTTTCAAGGAACCCAGCGCATGAGAGTCTCTGATACCAATAACTTCCCCTAAGGTATCATAAGGAGCACCAGCAACAGCCAACATCTGAAAAGCAAATCAGTCCTAAACTATAGTAACAATTTAAGAGAGAGCATAATGTGGTTACAGGATATAGATTCTCAAATCTCAATCAATGATTAAGAGCAGGAAATATCAAAATGACAGCTCACCTCATCCCCTGGCCTTAGAAGAGCAAACAAAGCACAAGTGATAGCGTGAGTCCCTGAGAAAAACTGATGGTGAAGGAGAAAGTACGTTAAAGAAGTTTTGTAAATGCCCCAAAGAAGTACATACACAGAATAACAGATGGTAAACCTGTGACCGGACAATTGCAGATTCAGCACCAAAAATTTCTGCAAAAGCTTGGTCAAGGGCTTCACGCCCCCCAGCTTCTTCATGACCATAGCCCGTGCATCCACCAAAGTGCTGATGCATACATACAAAATCATGACAATTAGTATTAAGAAAAATGTTTACGAATGAAACCATTGAGGTTCAAAAATAATCAAGTAACCTTCGACGATATGACATTTTCTAGTAAATGATCTATGGCAACATGCATTTGCACACAGATGTAAATGTATTTAATGCAAGAGCAAGACACAGAATAAAGTAAACCTAATAACATGATCAGACGTTATATGCTTTCATCACTTTCAAGAAATTAGCATAACCAATGGAGCTATCAGCCTATAATCAACAAGTCATTAATATCCAAGAGGACATATACAAAAGGATTAGACATGATTAGTCAAAAAAATCAAAATTCCCCTTACATGGTATCCAACCCGAGCATTCTGGAAAGCTCTAAGAACACGGGAAGTGTTGTGGGCCACCAGATTATCTACAGCTCGGAACTCCGAGTACAGAGAATCTACGGCTTTTTCAACCTGCATTGCACACCGATGAAGCAAATATGATCACATATCAGCACCAAAAGCTCAATCCTTCTACAAGCAAGAAAAAACAAGAACCGAGAACTTCAAAATCTCTGTAAATTTTTAACGGTTATAATAGCAAATTAGTACATGTTTGTTTAACCGGTCTGAGCAAGAAATAAATTCGGTAAAGTTTTTACAACAGAAATTATAGATAACCCTCTATTTGACAGCTGAGAAAATCGACGAAACAACAGAACCGATAATACAACTATAAATTCTGGGTTTTATTCACGGGTGTCAAATAATGATAAATTCAAGATTCAAAATTTCAATTCTATTTGTTTCCTAGGTTTCTTCAGAAACCAAACAGAGGGTTAACCGATATCCATCTTAGGGTTTTGCGAGACTAACAGAAGTAACAAATAAAAAGTGGGGTTTTCGTGTTCGGCATAGGTACTAAGAGTAGCATGAATAAAAAATTTGAATTGTAGGCATTGTACCTCAGGCACAAAGGGATGATCACAGCGATGATGATGATGATGATGATGAGTAACAGAGACTCGAGAGCTTGACCGCACTGGAACTACGGCTCTAGAAGCTGTAAGAGTGTGAGTAGGATAAGCAGAGGTAGCGCAGGATAAGACCAACATCTTCGAATAGAATCGGAACGTCATACGGAGTACATAACGGAGTATATTCGTAGTCAATACCTAATTTTGACAGTCTAACCTGCGAATTAAATTTTGTTAGCCAATAAAAAATTCTTAATAATAATTGTAAGTGACATTCATGATAATAATTCGTGTTTATTTTTATTTTTAATCTTAATTAAATATTGAATTAGTTGTATTGGTGTGAATTGTAATAATTGCAATTGAATTGCTAGTGCTATTTTGTTTAATTTATTAATAATTATATGTGAGATTGCAATAGTTAAAATTAAATCAAATGTCACACGTCCTTGGAATATAACTTAATATAATAATTTATTTTTATTTCAAACATTCATTTCACAAGGAGAATTGACTCTATAAATATTTATGGATAAAAAAAAAATTTACGAAAAATAATGTATATCGAGAATTATTAAGCATGTTCTCCGTGGCAATCTTTTGTCAAAAATATTCTACTATTTTTTACCACACAAATTTCAACGAATCAAAATTAGCATTCAAGTCAACAGTGATCATCAAAACATTTTTGACTATTCAAGTTTGACTACCCTTTTCACTATTCTACCTCTAATAATATCATGACGATTGATAATTTGTTATATGTGCTTCTTGTCAAAATAAAAAATTTGTTGGTATTAGAAGAATATATATCAATTCCATTTGAGAATAATCTTCTCACTTTTGAAGCAGGCAATGCTGTTAGATTTCAATTCTTTTTCATTAAATTGCATCTTTAAATTTATTTGCTTCAGTTTATATACAGATAGAGAGGAAACAATAAAACTAGCAAAACACAATTAGAAATCAAATTGTGTGTAACAACCTTCACTCTACGTAGACACAATATACTTAACTCTGAAAATTTGTTTGGGTTCACGGTCATTACGACTTTAAAACGTATTATATCACAGACATAGTCGGGTATAGAACCTATAATATATAGCATTTCACCTTTCCCATGCGATATGGGACCATGACACCATGTAGCTTGTCAATGCTCTCCCATATCACACCCGCCCGTCATCATCGCTTTAAAACACGTTGTGTCGTAAAAAGGTATTCAACTTATAATATATATCACTTTACTTTTCCCAGGCGAAGTGGGATCATAACACCATATAGCTTGCCAGTACTCACCCACTTCACACCGGCCCACAGAAGTCGTCACAATCACCCCCTATGAGGCCCAACGTCCTCGTTGACCACACTTTCGGCTGGGTTCTGGCTTTGATACCATTTGTAATAACATTCACCCTATCCAAACACAATATTATCCGTTTTTTACTTCCTCGGACCAAAGACTTCCCAGGGGGTCATCCAACCCAATGTCCTTATTGGTCACACTTCCGGCTGGGTTCCAACTTTGATATCATTTGTAATAACCCTCACCTTATCTTGACATAATATTATACGTTTTTTGCTCCCCCGGACCAGAGACTTCTCAAAGGGTCACCCATCCTGGTACTATTCCAGGTTAAGCACGCTTAATTCCGAAGTTCCGGTAAGTTCATGGTGATTACGGCTTTAAAACGTGTTGTTTAATAGAATGGTATAAAACCTACAATATATAACACTTCACATTTCCCAGATGATGTTGTCACGCCCCGAAATCCCATAACTTGGGTTGCGAAGAAATAAATAAAAATTAATAAATAAACAAATAGATAATTAATTAAAATAAATAAATAATTAACTAATTAAATAAATGAAGTCCACTTATTTAAACTCTCATATCCCAGCCCTAATTTCTCAAATAACTAAACGAATTCACATGGATGGGGCCACTGTATGGTATAAATGGTGCTCCTAATATCAATTTACATATATCTGATTACAATTCAATATATAGCATTAGATGCTCACCTGATCATTACGTAGTTTCATTAATAATATGAATCCTGGGTGTAACTTGAATATACATAAACACACGAAATACTATCATTGGTTTCATGAAAAATAAAATACTAATAAAAATAATAATAATATGTTTAAATATTTAATTAATCAATTACATTAGACTATTTAAGTGAACTCGTTTACATACATCAGGTAATAATGGTTCAAACTCACTACACAAGTCCATAACTTTCATTCCCAAAACTATGGGATAATAAGGATGTATATGTCTAAATAGAAGTCATGGCCACCGTAGCCTCGTTACAATCCATAAAATGAGAAATAATATTATGGGATTACATGAGTAGAGGTAAGAGAGGAAATTCAATAAGAACTCCAAAAAATAAATGGGTGAGTTCCTAAATCATTGTCCTCCTCCAAAAAAATATTACAAACATGTCATCAATTATAATATCTAAAATATACCATGAGTCAAAATATAAGTCAAAAAGTAAGCTATACAATACATATCACAATTATCGTAAAGTAACTCAAAACGTTGTCAAGATCCCAATCAGGCTAGGGATAAGGAACCTCCTCTTAGGCAGTGCCCTATCCTAAAAAATATAAGAATCAATGGGGTGAGCAACAAATTATTCTTTAGGAATGTCTCATGAATATAAACAATATCTCTCAAAATTCTACAAACATGGCATGGCCATACAAGAATATACTTCCTAACGTCTAGTCTCAAGGGAAATCTAAATAAGATCATCCTAGTCTAGAATTTAACCCATTCATCAAGACAAGCATAAACAATACAGTGTAATGTACATAAATGTCAACTTAAAAATGAAAGTTGAAATCAATTAATGGGATAACTCGGTACACATCCACACTCCTGGTCACATAGTCATGTTATGCGCCTAAATAAAAATAGTCGTTCTCGAATTACTAGTCTGCCGGAAACCAACCGATTGGCTAATATAAAGTGAGAAAACTCATATTTCACCTGCGAGCGTCGAACCCTTGCTTTCTCAAAGTAACAACCCACTAGTATCTCCCAAAATCAACAACCAAGTCCACAAAATAATCTATATATCATTATATGCCTAAGTTGCACTTCACAAGCACGCATAAATCATACTAATCACACAATCCATGTCTTATGGTCCAAATCACTATGATGGCATACTCTTTGATGCAATGTCAACAAATTAGGCAACTTAAAGTCATATGATGTCATGTTACCATTATATCACATATCAAGTGTGCAAAAGTTTAATATCGTCATAGAAATATACATTTTTAAAGTTAACCCTCGAATAATTTATGCATCCCTGTAATATGGTAGGAGTACAGTGATGCATAAATTGTTCATCAGAGGTATATTGAGTAAATTAATTAACTTGTAAAGTAGAAAATGATTACAAGGATGTATAATTCTTCATTTGTTTCAGGAATGCATATATATATATATATATATATATATATATATATATATACACACACACACACACACACACATATATATGTAGTCTATATTCCTAGCATTATGATTGTACTCATAAATTGTTCATAATGGGTAGTTTCGTCCAATTTACTAACTTGTAAAGTTAAAAAGGTAAACTAAATGGTCAAAGAGTAACGTGGTCAATTTTTCATGCCAGTTGGCTACATGGGGTGTCTTTATTCACTTTTTAATCTTTAAAGGGTGTCATTGTCCCAAAAACAGGTAAGTTGCATTTGTATATCCTTTTGGCAAACCTCAGGTGTGTTGTATTTTACCCTAAAAAAATAATTTCAGGGGGGGCACAACATAATATTTTATAAGTAATATGCCCATATTTATAAAAAAAATAGTGGCCCAGTGTAATACTCCTAATTTTAAAAAGGATATTCCTGATATTTAATGGTATTTAATTTATTATTTAAGTGCATTTTATTTGATTATGTGTCATTATTTTTTTATTAGGTGCTTAATTGTTTTCTTTTGTGGTGATTTAATTTATTTAAATGATATTTATGTTTAGTTATTTGATTGGAATTACTTGTTAGAGTTTTAATTATTTAATTGGCATTAATGGTTTAAGTGTAATTGGTTTAATTATTCTATGTGTGTCTTATTTTATGTGTGTCTTATTTGGTTTAATTGGGTTTACTAATTATTATTTTGTTCAATTAGATTATTTGTTAAGTATTTAATGGTGAATAGGGTAATTAGGTAAATATATCTAACTGGGGTTTTAATTACAGTATACATTAGGGTTTTATACTATAGCCGTCGTAGGTTTCTACGTTAATTGGATGGGCCAGTTAGGATTGTGAGTTGGACTTAAATGAACCTAGGGTTTAGGAAAACTCTATAAGTATAAGGTAGACGTCTGTGTAGGTTTTTTTTTAAACAAAGCACACGTTTTGTGGAAGTGGAGAAGGAAAAACGCAGTTTTTCACATTCTGCCAAGGTTTGATCAAAGCTCCGATCTCGCTTCGCCCGTGGTCCGATCGAGCTGAATTTTGGAGGAGAGGTTCACGACTCAGTGACGCACAATCTGAACGGTGGAGATCAGAGTTTGACCTCAGGAATAGTGATTCGTACTCATGAACAGTAACTGGGTCGCACAGGTTTTTTTTCATTCTGCCCAGATTTCATCAAACATCCGATCCCGCTTCGTCCGTGGTCCGATCGAGCTGAATTTTGGAGGAAAGGTTCATGACTCAGTGACGCACAATCTGAACGGTGAAGATTAGATTTTGAGTTCAGGAATAGTGTTTCGTCCCCGTGAACAGTAACCGGGTTTTGGAACTCGCCGGGATTTTTTAAGAAGACGACGTTGAAACTTTGAACAAAAGTTTCTGAGGCAAGATTCTATCCTTACTCTTTCCCTTAGGCTTCATACTCTTTGCACTCGTAAATGATTCCAGGATTAATGAAGATTAAACCAAACTAAAATGATTCTTGTTTTGCTATGAAACTGGTAGTTACAGTAGTGTTGTATGCTTGTTCAACCTAGACTAAGCATGTTTGTGGATGCATTGTGGTTCTGTGGTTCACGTTTTTCCTTACCACTGCTAGTATAAATCATTGGAAGGATGGGTCTAGATGATAGCTATCTTAACTTCTGTAATAGCAACTGTTGGAACTTAAATACTAGGAGGATTTG